GGGCTGGCTGGAGAATTCTGGGAGTTGAAGTCCAACCATCTTAAAGTGGCCAAGTTTGAAAAACACTGAACTAAACAAATGAACTTATAGTTGGGCATTTCAGATGAATGGAAAATGGATTTCCCCCTTCATTAAAATGTGCAGATCTTTAAAATTTGCACTGGGTACGCTGGGGTGGGAATGGTAAATCCAGGGGTAAACTTTGCTAAATTGGGTCTTGGGGAGCAACTTATAGCCCCCAATTTTACAAAAATAAAATCATGATTCGATCTGGAGGAGAAGCAGCAGCCTGGCCAGTAAGGAACGTGGGAAGGTGTGATGCAGGAGAGGAGGTGAACAGGAGCAGGGATCAGACCAACTGCGAGAGGTGCAGGCAAGCTTCCATGAAACGGAGGGATACAAAGAGGAAAGAAGGGACAGGGAGGGGTGAAACGTAAGGACTAGAAGCTTGGGGAGGATCTGGAGAGTGAGATGTGTGGTTTTTTTGCAGTGGCTGCAGCTCACCATGTACTCCTAAGAGCCCCCAGCCCATCAGCAAGACCACCCTTTCCGCTACATCTCCGAGCCTGTTCTGGAATGATGCAGAGTTTGGCATTACCCTTGATTGGCAGACCTGCCTTCAGCCTGGGAAAGTTTAAGGAGTCCTCTTCTGCAGCTCTGCTTCCTCCCCTGAAGCCAGACAAAGAACCCTCCTGTTTTCACTCTTGTTTTGTGTTGCAATTTTTAATCACCCTTGTAAAGCCAACTGCTGATCGTTTCCATTAGCTCTTCGCTTGCTAATGCTGCTGCCTCTTAGGGCACCGAGGGGTGTCGCTCGGAAGAAATGCTTCTTTCCCTTTCCAAACCGGCTTAGTTTTTAATGTTGCCATGCAGATTTGCTGGGTTTTTTTTTTTTTTTTGCAAATCTCATTCTGGAAGAATCGTGTGAGTTGGATGGGAGAGCTGCTTCTGAAGCACCAGTTCCTTGTGAAACCAGGTCACTTTGGGGGGGGGGATGTTCTGTGCTGTTTTTTTGTAAATTGGGGCCACTAGCGCTCTCTTTATGGACACTGTGACCTGGCGACTGACCATCCGGACTTTCAGCTGCCTTTGTAACTCCCATCAGTTTTCCCAGGTGAGCCAAACCTGTTGCAATAGACATAGGATGAGATCAGCTGGATTATCATTGGCTACCTCCCCCCTCCCCCCCAAGGGAATGGTTTCCCCAATTTAAAATCCCCCTAGCACTCCGCATGGATGTGATTTAAAAAGCAATAGTTGAACAGCTAGGGAAACGCCACCCAGCTACTTAAATGATACGACATGTACAGCAGCTTGTTTTTTCTCAAGATCCAGAGGCTGCTGATACAGTCCTGGCCCAGGATGACTCCTTGAAGTTTGCTTTATATTATCTGAAAAAGCATCTTTATTGCACATTGTATATCTGCACCACCACACAGATTTCCAAACGATGCACTCCTGTCGCATGCCATCTCTATGCATGCATTTTGAAGGTCTAAAGTATACGAAGAGAGCTCAGAATAACAACACTGGCAAGTATTTCTAGAATTGGTGTCCTTTAAAATGTGGGTGATCAGCCCTATCAAATTTGGTTCCGTTTTCCTCTTCCACAGGCTAGACAATGAAGTTTGGACATTGTGGGGCTATAAGCCCTGATTTCTTCCCTTTTTTGAAGGGCTCAGAATGGAACCAGAATAATATTAGGGGCTATTTATGCTTCTAAAAGCTGCAAGAACTTCCCAAAATGTTTTGGGTCCAGCTTCTCAAAAGCCAATCTATGGCTTGATTGTAATGAATTATTTTTTTCCCTCTGCCTAAAATCAGGAAGGGTGAGGAGGCCTTAACTTTAAAAATGGGACTTTGGTAAATAGGTCACTTTTGAAATGCTTTGCTGGCTCAGAGAACCTGCTGACAAAGTAAAAATAGAATATTGCGATAAATAAGACCTTTCTGGTTATTTGAAGGCCAATCTGCAAGTGGGGGTGATTTTCTCTCTCAGGGACCCTGGACAGATCTTTTCCCATGTCTTCCAAAAAGCCTCCAGGGTTAGAGGCTGCCTCCAAGCCCACCGCTCAGTTTTCTAATAGCTCATTAGCAACAGGAGTAAACGTTGCATAATAAGAATCAGCTTGCCTCTCGTGTTTGCTCAGCGCCTTCTCCGGCAAAGGGAGGAATTCAGTCTATTTTAATGCCGGCGTGATCCACCTTACGCGGTTGCATTCCCCTGCACCCACTGGGGCTCTTTTCTGGACCAGACTCTCTAGCAGGCCCTTCACGTGCCCAGGATGCCAAAGCCCATCACGGCTAGCCTCCTGTCACTCTTTGCAGCGTTCACAATCTTTCAGCTGGCTCTCCTGCAGAAAAATGGTCTCTCTTGCCATGCTGTTCTGTCTAAGGTACCACTGATTGGGTTCACACGTCCCATTAAACCAGTGTTTCTTAACCTTGGGAACTTTAAGATGGGTGGACTTTAACTCCCCGGGTTGCCCCCCCCGCCCCTCCCTGCTCGGGGAGCTCGGGTAGGGAAAGCCTCCACCATTCAAAAATCT